GCGGCTGGTGATTTCAACCTGCTGACCTTGTGGTCAGCAGCCAACTGTGAGCTGGCATCCCTTTGATGTAAAGAATGCACCCTGATGACACCGGACAGGACCAGCTTCATGCTGACACACCAGCGTAAGGCACGAGGCCCCGCTGAAACCCAGGGTGTGAGTCAGATGGGTGGCACATGTAAGCCGGGCCTGGGAAGGGCTGCTCCACCCAATCTGGACATTTATCACCTGGCAGACAGGCCCGGAAGATGGCCACCATTTGTGTATCTAACACACAGCCATTTCGGCACTACCACTGGGTGTCCCACACGGGCTGATGTGCCTCACTCATCAAATGTAAAAATATAGGTCGTGCCATGTTTCGGGGCGAAAGTTTGCCCAGCAGATTAGACTCCTATGTAACCGCTTTTTATACAACTCGCTCCACAACACTGGCTACATTTCCCACGGCATGTCACCCGTCCTATCATCCCCAGTCTGTTGCCCTTCATCCGGCTGCCCAGTCCCTCCTTAGCATCTCCTTTTAACTTTAAGGTACATGCTGACCCGTTTGGTCTTGAATATTTATTTAAGGGAACGTTATAATGACAAGTTATTGGCTCATTAACTCTTCATAAATGTTCTCCTAGATGAGGTCCGTTGTAGGTCATTAAATAGATAGGGAGTCAGAGGCCCCCAAGGTCACGAACTTGACCACAAGCACATAGCTAGAAAGCAGTACAACCAGAATTCCAGCCCTAAGCACTGTGGTGTCCAAGTCTCGGTTCTTAGGCGTCTGTGAAGCCATCCCTCATTATAGACCCTCAGCCTGTCACCAAGCCCAAACCGCGCATAATCACCTGCAGCGCAGCCCTCTCTTACATGGGGTTTCTATGTCTCGGGCAGGTGTTGTCCACCCTAGGGACAGCGGAGCACAACCCTGCCCCGTCCCTGACCACCTTCACAACTGCTGGGATGGTGGAGGCTGTGTCAACTCACAACCGCAACTGGCAACTCCAAAGCCAGTCTAGGCAAAGACATGAGGTCGTATTTCTGCTCTTCTGATCCTGACCTAGTTCTCACCCCAGACGCCCCCTCAGACTTAGCCCATCCTTCACCCAAACGTCAACATGACATTCTGACAGACCAAAGGAAGGAGACTGGGCCTCAGATCTTCAGGACACGACACCGCTTCATCCAGACCCAACCAACCCCACCCTGGTTCAAATTGGGCTCCAGGTTCCTCATCGTTGGTACAAATTCTCTAAAAGCCTCTGATCTTCACTGTTCTCTGCGACCCACAGCCTGGCCCTAAACCAACACTCGCCAAATGCAACCCTCAGGAACCTCGAATGGAAACAAAGACTCCGCTATCCACTTCAAGCTGGGGCTGGAGGAAACGGCCGGCTGGCCAGCCGCTCCCCTGGGTTGACTTTGCTGTGGTTGGAGCCACGTGGGGCTGCACCAGCCTCCCTTCGCAGGGAGGGCTGGGAGGTTGCTTTTTCTCCAGAAGTGGTAGTGGGTTCATACTAGGCCTTCCACAATGTATTGCTTCATACCCCCCTACGCCCCGCCCCCCAATCCACTCCCCACCCCGTGGCCAGCAGCTTGCTTCTGCAAACCATTTGGCTGGAGTCAGGGACGTGGTCTGTGGTTACATAACAGAAGTTTATTCCAAAGCCCAACTCTCACCCACACCCACCGCCTTCCCCACCCTGCTTGCAAACAGATGAACCGGAGCGCATTCCACAGTGCGGGAGTTGCAGAGAGATGGGACACAGGGGAGAAGAGGGTGCAGAGGAGACAGGATGGAGGGAGAGAAAAACAGTGGTGCTGGACATGGGAGAGGACAGGGCAGATGAGAAGAGGGGCCGGGTCAGTGGCCAGAGGTCAAGGCCACACAGCCCCGTGGTTCGCCTTCATCAATCAACAGGTGCCTTGGCCAGCCCACAGACCCCTTCTCTGGTGTTGGGGTTATTCACCACTGGGACCTTTTACATGCAAATTAAGGTTTCTTTTGGAAAGCTGGCGGCCTGGGCAGCACCAAGCATGGCAACCGTTCGTTGGAACGGAGGAGCAGCTGCCAGTTGGACACAGTGATTGCTGGTCGGTTTACCAGCACCCTGTCTCCTCCCACTGCCCTCCTGCTGCCCAGTTTCTGTGCTCCTGGAAGCTAGCGGCCAGGTGCCCAGACCTCTGTAGTGTGTGATCCTGTTTCATAGCAAGCAGTTGCCTCCGGCCAGTTCAGTGGCTGGCTTTTCAGAACTAGACTTATTGCCAGACTTGTCTTCCAAGGCACCTTTAGTGCACTGGAACCAGCAACCTTTCGGTGAGCGGCCAAGATCAAAACGCTGTGTGCCAGCCAGGGATGCCTGCCGCCACCAAGTCAATTCTGACTCACCGGCCCTGCAGGGCAGAGTAGAACTGTCCCCTGTGGGCTCCTGAGACTGTTTTATGGAAGCAGACTGCCACATCTGTCACCCTTTTGAAGGGCTACCTGTTGGGTGGGTCACTGAGTGCTTAACCCTTGCGCCACCAGGGTTCCTTGGTCCATGTTCCAGAAAGCCAAATCCACCATGTGGAGTCCATTCCGACTCCTCGACCCTGTCTCTATAGGGATCCAGAGGCCATACCTTTTTACAGGGGGGAGATGGCCTGCGTGGGAGGTGCGTCCAATTTGCCTGAAGGGCTGCTGAAGTGGGAATCCAGCTGGTGTATCTGAACTGCCAACCTTGTGGTTCTCACTGCCCGCAAATTAATGTTGACTCATCAGGATCCTATAGGACAGGGTAGAACCGCCCTGTGAGTTTTCGAGACTGGAACTGTATACAGGAATAGGAAGCTCCATCCTCCTCCTGTGGAGTGACTGGGGTTTCAAACTGCTGACCCTTCTTATCACAGCCCAACACATCGTAACCACTATGCCACCAAGGCTCCACCCTCGTGGTCGGAGCCCTGGAATCTTCGGTTGTTGGGGGCTCGTGGTGGCTGTGGCTGCTCCAGCCTCTGCCCTGCCATGAAGGCTCCTGCAAGGGGGACCTTTCTGAGGGAAGCAGGGTCTCCAGAGACTGATTGTGGGACCTTGACTGCCCGCAGGAAAAATGGACTCGTGTGCCTCCCGCTGCAACCAGAAATTTGACCGGGACGCTGCCTGCCAGTGCGACCGCCGGTGTCACCGGCATGGGGACTGCTGCGATGACTACGAGCACCTGTGCACAGGTGAGGGTCCTGCAGGGTGAGGGGTCCGGGAGGTGCATCCAGCCTGCCTGAAGAGCCGCGGGCTTGGGGGTCCTGCCAGCCAACACTGGGTGGCGGGTGGAAGGTGGGTGGAGTGGGGGCACACTGAAGGAGCCTACTGAGGGGCAGGGGCAGGGCTAGGGATTTGCCCACCGGACGCCCCAGATTTTCAAGGGGGTCCCCATTTAAAGCCCCAACAGAAACTACAATAGAAAGAAATAGCATCTGAACTACTGGGCCTAAAGCTATGTTGAAATTCTAAGCAACTCCCCAGAAGTGAAATGCTGAACATGTGTGCTAGCTTTCATTAGACGGCTGGTCGTTCCGCAATGCTTGGAATCACAAGAACGTGAAGATGGTAGGGACCGATCACAACCCTGCCGGGAACTTCCCAGGGCACTGAGCTCTTTCCGTGGAAGAACTAGCTCAGTGCCCAGAGTCAAAACCTGCTCCCTCCCAGCGGCTGCTGGACCTTACTGTTCCTGACTCTCCAGAGCAGACACCGGAGGGCCTGTTTACCTTGGGCCATCAGGCTGGTATTGAAAGACAGAGACCCTACCCAGCGTAGGAGCCCTTTCAGCATTCAATCTCTGGTGGGCAACTCGGGACCCTGCCCCACAGGGAGGGGTGATGGTGGCTGAGATTTGAGAGTGGCTCACAAAAGTCTCGTTAGCACAGCCCGTGACTGAATCAACAGGCGTGGGGGTTCTGCATTGGGCTGCTAACTGCAAGGTCAGCGGGTCGAAACCACCAGCTACTCCTCGGGAGAAAGACGAGACTCTCTCCTCCTGCAAAGAGTTACAGTCTGAGAAACGCACAGGGGCAGCTCTGCCCTGTCCCAGAGTGTCCCTGTGAGTCAAACGGCCTCTATGGCAGTGAGGGTGTGGTTTTGAGTGGCTAAATCAAGAACCAGGAGGCGATTGCTAGCTGGCAGCATCACCTGCCCCATGGTTCAAGTAGTAATCCTCCAGTGTGACTGTCAGCTGGTGTGGAATCGACCCCCGAGGACGAAACCAGACGATTGGCATTTGGGGTGGTGGGTTGCCAGGCCTTTCTTCCTAGTCTCAGCCTGGAAGCTCCCCTGAAGCTCGTTCAGCCTTGTAGTAACACACAGACTTCAACGGCAGATGGGTGGTGACTGTTCATGAGCGCCACTGGCCGGGCATGGGACCCAGGCCTCCCTCCTGGAAGGCAGGAATTTTACCGCCGAGCCACCAAGACTTCCGTAACCCGATACCCTGCGGCAAAGGCACTGGTAGCTTCTGAACTAACTTCTTGGTTAGGATGTTGTTTCTTTGGGGTGAACCAGTCCACGGCTTGAAGGAAAGAGAGGGCCGCCTCACTTTCCCCCCACTCCTCCCCGCCCCTTCTCGGTCCAAGCCGAGGCTGCCGTCCCGATGACGGCCGGCTCAGGAAGCCAGGCAGCGAGAAGAATGCCCTTTCTGGACATGCCCTCATCCCAAACACAGTCCTTGTGGCCACTATCCAGTGGGGCGGAGGATGGACGGACTGAGGGGCGCGCAGGCATCTCAGGAAACTCTCTGGTTCGCTGGGGGTCTGGAGGACAGCACCCCGGGCTGCTCAGAAGTGACTGGAGTTTGGGTGCCCCTAAGCGTAAGAGGGCCATTTGGGCACTGTCTAAACAAAACTCTCTAATCACCTACCATTTTGGCTGAAGGCTACCAGTTCCCGTGGACTTGGAATCACAGAGGCCCCGTGTGTTTCAGGCCGGGCATGTACAGTTTCAGTGGCCTTTGGAAGTCAGTGACCAGGCCTTTCTTCCAGGGCACCTCTGGGTAGACTGAGTTGCCAACCTCTCCATGATAGTCGAGGGTTTCACCTCCCCTCCCCCACTTCACAGATGTGGACCCTTGAGCCACCCAGGGACCCAGTGGTCAGCTTTGTCACCTGGCAACATTCTTTCCATTTGGGGGTAACAGTGTCATCCTCCTCGTTTGATCTCTGTGTCAACGCATGTCACATGTTCCTTGACGTGGTGCTGGTCCATTGCATCTCGGCCCCTGCACCCCTGTCTTTATCTCCTTCCAAGCCACGTGGGTCTCCCTGAGGCCCGGGGTTCTGAGGGCCAGAGACCGAGGAGAGGTTAAACACTGGGGGTGGTTTATGTTTCCAAAGCTCCCGATCCTGTCCTGGAGCTGGAGGAGGAGTCCGAGGAAGCCCCGGCTAATAGTGAGTCTATCTGCCTCCTCCCCCGGGGGTTGTTTCATGATAAAGGTGGGGGACAGGGTGTGTGTGACCAGGAGGGAACTGCAACGCAGCAGCAATCAGCCTAGATCGAAGCTAGATGACCCCCAAAGCCAGAGCTGGGAGGTGGGGTGAGGGGCTCAATGCACTCAGTCTCTGGTTTTGGGGTGATGGGCCTGAGCCTGAGGGACCCGCCGTCCCGGAGGTAGCTAGTGAAGAACATCTGAGGCCTGGGGAGCAGCCAGGAGAGGAAGTGGAAGAGATTTTATTTTTAGAGTGGGGAGATGATAAAACAACAGGCCAGAAAGTATCGTTGGGCATCAGAAAGGGCTTCCTGCCCCGGGAGGGTGTCCAGGAACTCAGCTGTTTGTTGTCCTTCCCTGGAGACTGTAGCAGGAAGAGGGACAAGAGTAAAGCTGAGGGCGGGGCTGGCCGGGAGGGAAGCTGGGGGAGGCTGTCGGAGACACACAAGCCCCCTGTTCCTCAGACCTGTACTCAGCACCCAGATCCTGCCAGGGCCGCTGCCACGAAGCCCTTGACAAGCACCACCCATGCCACTGTGATGCCCGCTGCCAAGAGTTTGGAAACTGCTGTGAGGATTTCGAGCTCCTGTGTGACCATGGTCAGTCCCTGTGCCCTGTAGCACAGTCCCTGAGAGACAGGGCGACTCGTGAGAGTAGTGTTCACAGACGGTCGTCCCAGGGCTACCAGCACCAGCTCACCTGAGAATTTAGTAGGAATGCAAGTTCTAGGCTTCCCTCCAGTCCCACGGACTCAGAAATTCCAGGATGGGGCTCAGCAATCCGGTTTTATCACGTCCTTGAGGAAAGTTGCCAAGTTGCTATTTTTAATTAATTTATTTATTAAAGAAAACATATTCGGTGTGGTTGCACAACTCATCAAATTAAATCAGTCAGAGTGTCGCTTCCCAAACCCCAGGTGTGCTTTGTCCCCTCCCTCCCCACCCCCGCCCTTCCCTTTCTCCCTCATAATTGCCCCAGCCTGCCCTCTCCCTCTTGCCCAATCTCCAGAGCCTTCCTAGAGGGAAGGGGCCGAGTGGACCATTTGTGGACATTCTGGGGCAAGGCCATGCCTCGTTTTAAGACCCCTTTAGGCCTCTGCTCTGCCCTCCAACCCCAGGGCGTCTGACTGTGGTCCTACTCTTATAGGACCTTGCCCTCTTCCCTCATCTCTGAGTGAGCCCTCGCTTCTCCCCTCTCCTTCCCAGAGGGCTTCTCCCACACCAGGGACGCCATATCCCAGGAAGAGCTGGAAGAAATCTCTGAGAAGATCTACATGTCGGACATCAACAAGGCCCAGAAGGCAGACATCATTCTCAACAGCCAAAACGGTCAAATCTCCCCTTCAGAGACCGGAGACCAAGTGGATCGCTGCTCTGAGCCGTGAGTTCCCCTCGTTCCCCTCTCCTGCTCTCTACAGGGAGTGTCTTCATCCTTGACTCTTTTCAAATCAGACAGAATCGAACATGGAGAAAAACAGTCCCCCAGGGAGGGTAGTCCCGAGGGATTGAAAGGCACACTGCTGGTGCAATGGGCTATGAACCAGAGGGTGGGTGGTTCAAAGCCACCAGCCGCTCTGAGGGAGAACGAGGAGCCTTTCCGTGTCCTTCAGAGTGCACAGCCTTGGGCTAGGTCGAGTGTGTTCTGGAGGGTTGCTCTGACGTGGACCCCGCGGTGCGCTTTGGGGCTTGAGGGTTGCGTCGTCTATACAGCTGGCAGGGTGTCTGTGACTGGCCAGGCTGGAGAAGAGAAGGGACCTTCCCAGGGATGAAACAGAAACAAACAAACAAATGACCTCATGAGGAGCTGTCCAGAGAGCTCCTGAACCCCACCCAGCCTCCTCCCATGCCCGCAGGCTCTACACCTATGTCAATGAGAAGCTGTTCTCCAAGCCCACCTACGACGCCTTCATCAACCTCCTCAACAACTACCAGCGGGCCACGGGCCACGGGGAGCACTTCAGCGCCCAGCAGCTGGCGGAGCAGGATGCCTTCCTCCGAGAGATCATGAAGACGCCAGTCATGAAGGAACTCTACGGCTTCCTGCGAGCAAAGAGTGAGTGAGTCAGCCCCCGGGGGGCTGCCCGGTGAGGCAGCCCTGAGGGCTGCAGCCAGGCCGTCTGCAGGAGAGCCAGGGACCCTGGACCTGCACGATGTGGAAGTTAAGCCAGCAAGCCTGGCGGCCAGTGCTCATCTGGGAGGGATCAGGGAGAAACCCAGAGGAGGTTATGGGCCCCATCAGACACGCAAGAAGCTCTGCCTCGTTTGGAAATCATTCCATCTTTTGATTGGATCCTAGCTGCTCCGCCTAACCCCTCCCTCCCTGTCCTTATGCGTGCATCCCTGCTTCAGCCTCAGGGTCCTCCCAGAGCCCACCTCAGGGCACTTCTCTGGCCCTCGCTGCTCCCAGCAAGCCCCCGTGTACTCCCTCACTCCATTAGGTCAGGCAGGTAAAGAGACGCCCTCCCGCCTCCTGCACTGAGCCCAGGGAGGTGGCTGGTTGACTGAGCCCTGCATTTTTGCCAGGGAAACGGCAGCAGAAAATCAACAAAGGTTCAGCGAGGGACGTTCTACCAGTAAGTTCTGGTTGGAGCAACTCCAGGCACATTCAAATCAGACCAAAAAAGGTTTTGGCCGCCGGACTTCTTGGCACGGGGCTGTGTTTGTTAGTGCCCTCCGGATTCCTTTCCCGAACGCCCGGCAGCTAGGCGCTGGCCAGGGCGGCCCGCTCCACATCCGCGCCCGCAGGCGGCGGCGGGGTCGTCCCCGCACCCCCCAAGCCCCCTCCCCCGCCTGCCGCCTGCCTTGAGCTGCCGCGGGCCCCCTGCAGAGAGGGACCTAGGAATCCCCGCCCCCCATCTCGCCAAGGGGACGCAGTCCTGTCCCGCCCCCTGGTGTCAAAGATGCGTATAGCGCAAGCTTGGCCGACTCGCCCTTTCTTCACGGGTACAGTGTGGGGACACCAATGATAGTCTCGTGTTGTGGCAGCCACCACGCCTGTCATTGCCAGAGAGCCCATCACTGCTTCCAAAACAACGGCTCCCCTCTCCCTCTGTCATCACGACTGTTCTTGGGACACTGTACATGTCCCTTCCCTGCCATAGGGACAGAAAGTGGAAACAGGCTGAGATCACACAGGAGGTGGGAGGCAGAGCGGGGCTGGACCTCAGGCCGGTCCATGACCGCACCCCCTTGTGGCTCCTCTCCCTTCTTCGTACCACCTGGTTCACAGCCCACCCCATTTCGGCACGCTGTCTGCCTACCCCAGTGCCACATGCTACTAGTGCGCTCTGGGATAAGGTATCTTACCTTTCTCAGTCTTGCCTGTGAAAACGTGTGTGTGTGTGTGTGTGTGTGTGTGTGTTAAAAAACTAACGCATGTGACGCCCCTGAAGAAAGGCTGGCGCATAGCAAATGCCCAGCAAGTGGCCACTGTTCAGCTTGTGAACTCACTTTCCATCAGGCCTAAGGTGGACAGGGAAGTGGAATGACAGGAGAATGAGAGAACAGGAGACCATGGAAGTTGTCCACGTCTCAGATGAGGCCCCCTCATGGTTAGACTTGTTATCCAGTAGTGGTTTCAGTTTTTGAAGGAAGGGGATATGTCTGATATTCCTTTCATATCCTCCACACATACCACATATACTCGTGTAGAAGCAGAGTTTTCCAGCACATTTTTAATGCAGTGTTTGTGGTAAAAGTAGATGCCTCAGCTGATATTCGGGTCAGCTTGTACTCGAGTGTATAGGGTAGCTCTCAGTCACGTCCATCGAGTGGTTGCCTACTCATAGCAACCCAGTAGGACAGGGTAGAACTGCCCTTGTGAGTTTCTGAGACTGAAACTTTTTACGGGAGTAGAAAACCTCTTCTTTACTCCTGTGCAGCCACTGGTGGTTTCGAACCGCTGACCTGGCAGTTCTAGTAAGTAACTACTATGTCCCCTAACCAACCAGACTTTGAACTCACTGCCATGGAGTCGACGCTGCCTCCAAGTGACCCCCGGTGGGTTTCAGAGATGGTAACTCCTGACAGGAGTTTAAAGCCCAGTCTTTCTCCCTTGGAGCGGCTGGTGGCTTCAAACTTCTCACCATGTGGATCGCAGTCCATTACACCCCCAGGGTTCCTCTACAACACGTCTAGACCAAACCAAATGATTTACTGTGGCCTTGGTTCTGGCTCCTGGTGGCTCTGCATGTGTTCACGTAGGACTATGAGGTTAAGATCGAGCACCCTTGCAGGGACTTGCACGCCCCGGCCCTCATGTGCTGCTTGCCTCTCCTTGCCTACACTCTCTCCAGCTCACTCTGCTCCGGCTTCATAGGCCCTCTATCAGTCCTTTGAAGACCAAGATCACTCCTGCGTCACAGGCCTTGCCATTGCGTTTCCGGCTCCATGGAAGACTCTCTCTCCCCTCAGAGCTTTGCCTGGCTGGCTCCATATCCCCTGGGCTCCTGATTACTGCTTCCTCCGCAGAAAGGACTTCTGAGCTTTCTCTCTGGAAGAGCCCCCATCACTATAGGCAACTCAGCTTTATTGTCTTCATAGCATGCATCTGCTATCGTATTATTGATGGATTGATGACTGATTTTCCATCTGGAGTGTGAACTAGAAAGGCAGAAACTTGGTTCTCGTCACTGCTGCTGAATCCCCTTCAGATCCAGGCCTGGCTCAACACATAGGTGCCCGGGTGACTGTTGGATGGACAATCGAGCCCATTTGGTGATCGAACCCTTGATGTACCGGAGAGGGCAGCTCTGCCTGCTTCTCAGGGCCTGGCCCAATCACCCCCTTTCCTGAGTCCTCTGTGGTCCTCTCCCCAGATCGCTACAGCTCGGAGCAGGAGTTTGTCGGTGACCTGAAGAACATGTGGTTTGGACTCTATTCGAGAAGCAAACAGGAGAGAGATTCAAGTGGCTTTGAGCATGTCTTTTCAGGTGGGCTCACCTTTGGGAAGGAAGAGCAGGTGGGGGAGGGATGAAGAGAAACCACTTCAGTCAGCAAAGCAGGGCAGCGGTGGACATGGGTGTGGCTGTAGCCAAG